CTAAGGCACTTGACTGCTAACCAGAAGGCTGGCGGTTCAAACCCACCAGCCACTCCTTGGAAGGAAGATTGGGCAATCTACTTCCATAGTGATACTGCCTGGGAACCCAAGGACGGGTCGCTATGAGTCGGGTCCTATTGGATGGCACACAACACCACCAAGCATGGCTGCCCCAGTGATTTTTCTGTTTTCTCATTTCCTAGGAGACCTTGAGAGGGCTGCGCTGACCGAGGTCAGCCAAAGAGCCGGCACCCACACCCAGTCCAGGGCCCCACTGAGCTGCGGGGTTGACATCCTGCCACACACAGTGGACCCCAAGTACCAGAGTGACCTGGTGTCTCGGAGTGGCAAGGAGGTATACGCCTACCCCAGCCCCCTGCACGCGGTGGCCCTTCAGAGCCCCCTGTTCACTCTGACCACGGAGCCCCCACAGGTTGGCAGCAGTGAGCACCCCAGGGACACCCCTCCTAGCTCCATGGGTGTGAGCTCCCTCAGGGCCAGGACCAGACCCATCCCTGAGACAAGCCCTGCAGGGGCCTACATTGACAAGCTGCTGCGGCGGTCTCAGGGCTGGGGGAGCCCCCTGAGGGGCAGTATGGGGGAATGGGGGTTCCCCAGGTGTGGGGTATCTCCACCCCAGCAGGTATGCAGTGGACAGAGTGTGGGCCAGGAAAGGCGGTCTGAGAAGCTGGTCAGCCCTCCAGGGAGCAAAGAAGGGCAAGGCGTGGGTCGGAATGGGGACACCCCCTGGGGGAGCCCCACGCAGCTGGGACCCCTGTCCCAGCTGGACGCCCAGCAGCCTGCCGGCCTTCCAGAAGTTTCCGCACCCTCAGAGGACTGCATCCTTGGGAAGATCACCTGGGGCCCCCTCCTCGTGGAGCAGGAGAGCCCCCCTGACCCCCATGCCCCGTTGCCCCACTCTGCCCCCCGTTACTGGGATAACAAAGCTGACCTGACCTGTAAGGAAGGGGGCACCGTGAGTCCCTCTCCAGTTTGGAGGCAGCTTGTCCACACCCCGTTTGCTGCTGTCCCTGGAGCCTACCCTTCACGGCTGAAAACAGGCAGCCCCAGGGTCAGAGCTACAAAAGTCAAGCGGAGGGCAAGCAACAGGGCGCTGAGGTTTGGCAGAGAGGCGCTGAGGTTCCCAGACAGGCAGTGGGAGGCCCACAGGGTGCCCTGGCTGTCACCAGAGTGGGACCCTTCCCAGGGGCCCCACAGGGACGACAGTGTCAGGGGGAGGGTGGCCATGGCCAGGGAGGTGCCGGGCCGGGCCTTCTCCGAGACCAGCCTCTACCCGGTTCCCTTCCTGGTGCCCCTGCTGGTGGCCCGGCGGGAGAACCGTCATGCATCAGCCCAGGTCCTCTACCCGCTGGGCGCTGCCCCTCTTGGTGTGGCGGCTAGCAGCTGGGCCAGGAAGCAGCAGCGGAGATGGCAGTCCTCAGTGCAGATCTCCGCCGGAGCCCACCCTGGCCAGGGGCCGCGCAGACCACCGGGGAGGAGGGCAGGCGCTCCCCAGGGCAGGCGGCTGCGGCCAGGCCCCTGTGGCCGCAGCGAGTCACGGCGCTCTGAGCACTTGGCTGAGTGTGGCTCCCTCGTCCGCTCCACTATCACCGAGACCAGTGAGGATGAGGATGGCAGTGACCACACTGCCAACCGCTTCGGGGATGGGGAGTCCAGCAACAGTGAGGGCGAGGGAGGCTGTGGCCAGGGCAGGAGCGGCCTGGTGCTAGGCCAAGGGCCACCCAGGCCAGGGAAGCCCACCGAGCCTCCAGCAGCTGCCCTGCAGCCCTCGTGGGCCAGCGCTGGGCCGAGGCCACCCCCGATGCCCAGACTGTGCCGCGTGAAGGCCTCCAGGGCCCTGAAGAAGAAGATCCGAAGGTTCCAGCCTGCAGCGCTCCGGGTCATGACCATGATGTGAGCACAGGGGCAGGCTCCTCTGAGGACGGGGCAAGCAGTGTTCCAGGCGGGAGCCAGCCCCTCGCAGTGCCCCTGACCATGGCCACAGACAAGGGCCTTCCACCGCTGATGGCCGCGCCCGTCCCGTCCTTTCAGCTGTTTATGCAGATCTGGGCTTCTCTGTCGCCCTGCCGACTGGCTAGGTCTTCTGAAGTCATGTTTGGACAGGGACCTCCTTGAGGTAAATGGCAGACCAGCCCCGGGCTCGGCCCCTAGACTGTGTGCTCTGTGAGTGGAGACACTCAGCTGGAACCTGCACTTTCAGATTTGGCAGCCCCCCAGCCCCTTCCCAGGCCTCCCGTTCTCAGTACCACAGCCCCTCGTTTCTCTGTGGCATCGCTGTCGTGTAGTCCTGGCCAGGTGCGCCGTCCGGTCCACTCCAGCCCAGCCAGGGACGCCAGGTCCTCCCAAGCCACTCCCCGCACCTGGAGAGCCCTTCCAGACCGGGTGGGAAACTGAGTTTGAATCTAGACTCTCCGGCAAAGCTCTCCACGGACATAAGCACCCATGTCCTGCTGTTAGCTCCCCAAATAAAATCAAGACCTGCTTTCCCCTTTGCCTGGCTCCTCTCATTCCCTGGTGCCGCAGCTCTAACCCTGCGGTGGGAACCGGGCTTTCTGCAGAGCCCGAGCTCTGGGGCCTGAACCTCAGCTCAGCATCCAGCCCTCGGTGTGGCGGGCGCGGCACGGAAGCTGCCTGTGAGCACAGTGGGCCTCCGTCTGTGATCAAACGCTGCTCCCTCCCAAGGGCGTCAGAGCTCTTCTCACTGAGGGGAAGGACAGGCCAGGTGGGATCCCCAGGTCAGGGGCGTTTGCCCGCAAGGCCGCCTGGGGGAGCTTCCGCAACCTCCGGGCATGGCTGGCTGGCTAATGGAGAGGACACAGTGATTAGAAACTGGTTAAAGATACAAGTAGATGTTACCCTAAAACCAAGCGCACTGCCATCGAGTCCAGGCTGACTCATAACGACCTCCACAGGTTTCTAAGGCTGTAAGTCTTTACAAAAGCAGACCACCCCACCTTTCTTCCACAGAGAGGCTGGTGGGTTCAAACTACCCACATTTTAGTTAGCACTTAACCACTACACCACCAGAGCTCCTGGGGGGTTATGCTAGGCATTAGTCAAAGCCTTCATAATAACAATTGGTTAGTTCAGGATGCAACTTGAAGATCAACACGTTTGGACAATTAGCGGTTAAAATAAAGCAGCTGTCCTCTGAGGTGGGCAGAGGCAGCTGGGGTGGGACCCAGAGGGCCGTTGGTTCTTTCTGGGCAGAGGGGCCCAAAGGCAAGCACTGTGACCGGCCAGAGCTGGCTTTGAGGCTCAGCCGCTCCATGCGCTGAGCCGGTGGAAGTCCCTTCCATAACAGCACCTGCTTACCAGCAGGATGGATAGAGTCTCTCAGCTTCTAAAAGCAGCATTGACCTTCAGAGGAATGTTCGAGCCCACACTTTATTGGGGGTTTTATTGTGCAAGGAAGAAGCCCTGGTGGTGCAGTGGTTAAGTGCTCAGCTGTTAGCCAAAGCATAGCAATTTGAACTCAACAGCTGCTCTCCAGGAGAAAGATGAGGCAGTCAGCTTCCGTGAAGATTGATAGCCTTGGAAGCGAGTGGGCAGTTCCACTCTGTCCTCTAGGGGCGCTGTGAGTCGGAATCAACTCCATTGTGGTGGGTGTGGTCTGGGATTTGGTTCTGTGAAGATTGACAGCCTGGGAGACCCTGTGGGCAGTTCCACTCTGTCCTCTAGGGGCGCTGTGGGTCAGAATGGACTCCATGGCAGTGGGTGTGGTTTGGGCCTTGCTTCCCTGAAGATTGACAGCCTTGGAGACCCTGTGGGGCAGTTCCACTCTGTCCTCTAGGGTCGCTGTGAATAGGGATGGACTCCATGGCAACATTGCATAAGACATCCCTGGGTGGCAGAAACGGTTAAGTCTGGTGGTGTGCCTGCAGCATTCAGCCACCCAAAAGCCTGTGGAGCATGGTTCTACCCCAACACTCTGGGGGCCTCCAGGAGTCAGTCCACTGACTAAGCAGCTTCTTGCCTTCTGTGGCTGGTCCTTCTTGACCCAAAGCCTTCTTGTCCGAAGGCAGTTTGGCCTGGAGCACAGGGTGGTACAGTCAGGAACCCGCTGCTGATCCCATCCCACAGCGCCCCTAGAGGACAGAGTGGAACGGCCCCACAGGGTTTCCTAGGCTGTCAACGTTCATGGAAAAATACAAGAAAACCAAACCCACTGCCCTTGAGTCCATTCTAACTCATAACAACCCCCAGTGGGTTTCCGAGGCAGTAAATCTTGATAAGTAGATTGTCCAGTCTTGCTTCTGCGGAGTGGCTGGTGGAAGCAAAGCCCAAACCACGCCCACTGCCACGGAGCCAATTCCCAGTCATAGCGCCCCTAGAGGACAGAGGGGTGCTGCACCAGTGTTTCCTAGGCTGTCAGTCTTCGTGGAAGCGGATTGCCTCATCTTTCTCCCTTAGAGAGGCTGGTGGGTTTGAAGGCCAACCTTTTGGTTAGCAACTGAGCGCTGCACCAGCAGGGTCCCTTCCCATAAAGATTACAGCCTGGGGCTGTTCTGCTCTGTCTCGTGGGATACCCACGAGCTGGAGTTGACTCGCCCACAGTGAACAATCCCTGGTAGGTATATCAGGTCTACACAGTGTTTAAAGCTAAAGGAAATAAAGCCAAAACAAAGGAGTGGACTGTGTAAGGTTACGCAGCTGGTATGTGAAGGTGTGGAGTTGAACGGCTCTCTTGTTCAGGGCCAGGCGGCCAGGGGGACGGCGAGCTTCTGGAAGGTGTGACCGACCGTGCTGCCTCTGCATCTGTGTCCTCCGCACCGAGACTGGAACGCTCTCACTCAGAGCTCAGCCAGTGTGAGGCCTGTCCTCTAAGATGCAGGAGCAAAGCCTAACTTCCTAACTAACTAACTAACTCCCCAGAGTCAGGAAGGCACGCAGGCTTGGCCAGCGCCCACGCCCCCACCTCGAGCTCAGGGCCCTCCCGGGACCTGGTTCCAGCACACAGCGGGGCGTGTCTCCGCCGTGTTGGGACAGAACTTGTGGGGTGGCGGAGCAGAGACACGCAGACTCAGCGCAGTGTTGTGGGGCCCAGCACATGTGCAATCACTGATGACACGTGCGTAGCTCGTGGGCACACGCGTTTCGTCCTTACCTGTGCTGCTGGGCTGTCACCCCCGATACACTCCCTCTCCACCCAGCCCCTCTCCTGACCAGGAGGACAAAACGGAAAAGGAGAGCGGCCACCATCATCCCCTTTCCGTCCATGTCACTGTCTTCAGTGGGGGGAGGTCCTACAGGGAAGTGACCTAAGGCAGGATTTTCCAGGGATGTGCATTTACATATCTACGTGGCAGTCCCTAGGTGGGGCACAGTCAAGGACGCAGGTCCAAACTGGAAGGTTGGCGGTTCTAACCCAGCCGGAGGGGCCTCGGAAGACCAGCCTAGTGGTTGGTTTTGGGAAGTCGCAGCCTCAATAACTGTACAGACGCACTTCGGCCGTGCACACATGGGGTGGCCAGGAGTCGGGTTGGCCTGACTGCAGTGAACGCGGACCACACCTATCTCACACAACTGTGGGGCCGACAGATCTGAGATCCACAGGGCAAGCTGACAGGATTTCTGTGTCATTCTCCAGGTGGAACTCCCTCCTCCCCAGGAAACCTCCGGTTTAGCTCTTAGGCCTCAACTGATTGGATGAGGTCACCATGATGTCCAGAGTGATCTCCTTTACTTACAGTCAACAGGTTATAACTGTTAACCACATTTACAAAGTGCCTTTGCAGCAACACCTAGACTAGGGTTGGATAAAACAACTGACCCCACATTGAGCCAAGCTGATGCTTAAATTACTGTGGTGACGAGTGACCAAGGGTCTGGCAGGGCTCTTGGTTATATTTCCCAGAACCCATCACCTTCTTCGGTGTTCAGAGTAAGTTCTGGTTCAGTGGAAACTGTGGTCTGTGCCTTGGCTTAGTCACAGACTAACGTGCTCACCTTCTGCTCAGTCCACGTCACTGAGCTCCCACATACGTGAGCCCATCAGAATTCTGTGCTTGCAGCCATCACAGATTCTACATGGGAACAGACCACCTGAAGCAGCCCACTCATGTGTTTCAGTTCCCAGTGGGCTTCAGTCACAGAGCACGGGTTCGAGACAAAATCACTGAGAATGTCAAGATGGCAACAGCAGAACACTGAGCAAGCATGGGGCCATCGACCAGACAGGTGAGAAGTCCAGGAAGCCGGGCCTGGCTCTAGGTCCATTTTCTCCTTCCAGCATCACCAGTAACCTGAGACTCCCTGCCCCTGGAGTAAGTGCTGTGCCCTGGAGAAATGTTAGGGAAGGTCTCAGTTGGTGAAGTTTCCACTACATGAAAGGGAGATGTTTTACAGATGGAAGGTGGGAAAGGGTGTCCGGGAAAGAAGAGTTACTTCCTGAAAAATATTGGCTACACATGGCAACAAGGTTCTTTCCCTAATCTTTGTATGTCTACTTGCTTTGCTGATTTAACTGCACTTGCTGGGATACGCAGTATTGTGTTACGTAGCAACCAAGCTACTGGACATCTTTCGATCCCATTTTATTTTATTTTTTTGTTTGTTTTATTATCCTTATTTTAAATTTTTGCATTGTCCCCTCCCTTCCCCTCCCACCCCTGGTAACCAGCAAAGAAAATTTCCTTCCATATATAAACATTTCCTTGACTTTTTACAATAACAGACTAATATAATATTTGTCCTTCTGTGATTGACTTATTTCACTCAGAATAATGTCCCCCAAGTTCATCCACATTATGTGGTGTTTTGCAGATTTCACATTATTCTTCAGTGCTGCATAGTATTCTATTGTGCATAGTACTCATTGTGTGTTCCATTTTAAAGAAATTGTTCCATTTTAAAGAAAGTTCTTCTAACATGTCACAATTTTTGTGTAATTTTTGG